TATATTTTATTCAAAAATAAAAACATTATCGCATTTTCAAAACCACTAAAAACCGTATTATATCTACATGAATAAATAATAAAACCAAACATTAAAATTAAGATATATATCTCGCTATATTATGCGAGCACCATTTTAGTCATATTTAAAAACTTAAAAAAATAACCCTTAACCCTTAAATTTGTGTCGTTTTACAGACAACTATACTCCAAAAGGTAAGTTCTCCGTTACCCACGTTGGATGCTTTTCTAGACCTCGTAAAGACGGTCGTTTAAATAACACATAATCAGATTACTTTTTCTATATCGAAAATCTTCTGCATGAAAATATGACTTATATCAGTATCGTTAAAATTCATTTACTAGTAATTTATATTTTATATTTAAAATTCACATCTGTTTTTATTTTTTCGATTAAATCATAAAATACTATCAATTTTTACTGTGGGCCAACACCGATCCGTCGGAACAAAATAATTTATTCAATGACGTATTACGATGATTTCATATTTCTTAATAAAAAAAGAATATCAAAATTAAAATACGTTAATATTTGACCTGAGAATACGACAAAACAAGTCAACACAAATAACAATTTTTAAAAATTTCCAAGTATTTTAAGAATTGAATATATAATTAATGGAAATTTATATAAAGCATATTGGAATATTACTTAAGAAAGACTATAAAATATTTTATTAAACAAAATTATTTTACTAATCATGGAATTTAGGTTCGTTTGGCTAAAATGGGCCATAAAAGACCTTTTATTTTTTAATTTTTTTTATTAACCTACATATCCAACTTGTTATGCGAGCCGACTAATCTTAGGACGACCACCTGCTTTGCAGATAGCCCGGAGTCACCACATTTGAACCTCCGTGACCACAAGAGGATTTTTATTCCTACTTGGATTTGAACCTAGGACCTCCTGGTACTTTTGACCTTTGGAGCTAAGCTTAAACCAATCAGACATCACCCTTCTGGTTCTAATTTTTAAATTTTGCAATCTTCTGTACTATGTTATAAAACATTTGACAAAAACTCTTAAAAACCATTTTTTATGCATGAAGTACTGTTTATTGATGCATATTACTTAAAATTCAAGATTACAAGTGATTTTGCGTAAGTAAAACTTATTAAAGCTTCATTTTTAAATACGTGTAACTAACTGCAGATAAATATAAAATAGAGATTTATTTTGCTGAATTGCACGAGTACCCTTCTAATATATATATATATATATATATATATATATATATATATATAAGAAATGATATAAGTCTAGCCAACGAGAGATTTAACACGTCAGCCCCTCCACCAGAGTCTAGACATGCAAATTTACCGTCTTAAAGTGTTCAATCCTTGGTAGATTTTGACTCTGATACCATATGTCAATATGTAAAATCCTAATTTAATACCCTCTAAAAAACCATTGTAGAGAGAATTGAGGTTGATACATATAATTGGGAGAAATGGTCAATATGGATTATGGAGTTTGAAGAACACCTTATTGTATTATATAAGGCTTCCATGCACATTAAATCTCCACACTGAATTCACAAACAAAACACACAGAGAATTGAGGATGAAGCTCAAAGTTTTGATCATTGGGGGTACTGGATACATAGGGAAAAGGCTAGTGAAGGCCAGTCTACAACAAGGCCATGAGACATACGTTCTCCAACGATCAGATATCGGGGGTGACGTTGAGAAAGTCCAGATGCTGCTGTCCTTCAAGAAGCAGGGAGCTCGTCTCCTCATTGGTTCGTTTAACGATCATCGCAGTCTCGTAGAAGCGGTGAAGCAAGTAGATATTGTGATATGTACAATATCTGGTGGCCATCAACTCCTGCTTCAACTAAAACTTGTTGTTGCCATCAAAGAGGCCGGAAACATTAAGGTATACTCTTCAAACCATTTCAACAAGTGACAGCCAGGGGCTGCTCCTAGACCCCGTAAGGAGGCGTGGCCCATCGAACCCCACCATAAGGCCCACCCAACAATCTAGGTTCTAATTAGCTTACACGAGTGTAGTTCACGCCTCCTAACCTGTTGTATAGCTTAACTAGTTACCCCATATTCTCTTGGAAATCCAATTATATAAAATAGTCCCTAAAATCACCAACAAATGATTTTTGCCAAAGTTTTTATACAAATCATTGGGCATTTGGCTAACGTTAATACATATTTATTAGAGGTTTTTGCCGTCTGAGTTTGGTGCGAATCCAGCTAGAATGGGGGATGCAATGGAACAAGGAAGGGCAATCTTTGACGACAAAATGGTGGTGCGAAAAGCTATTGAAGATGCGGGCATCCCTTTCACGTACGTATCTGCAAATTGCTTTGCTGGTATTTTTGTCGGAGGGCTGTGTCAAGTCGGCCACTTTCTTCCTTCACGGGAGTCGGTCGTCTTGTATGGAGATGGCAATCAAAAGGGTAAGTATGTTGTTATCTCTTACACTTCGTAACCTTTAATGAAATCCATATTTATGTTAACACATTTGGGCTACTATTATGTAGCTGTATTTATGGATGAAGATGATGTAGCAGCATATACGATCAGAACCATAGACGATCCACGCACTGTTAACAAGACGGTCTACTTGAGGCCTCCCGCGAATATACTTTCACAAAGGGAAGTTGTCGGAATCTGGGAGAAGCTCATCGGCAAAGAGCTCAAGAAGTCGTCTTTATCGGAACAAAATATTCTCAATATCATGAAAGGTGACACCATTTCTCAATAACGCATTGATTGACGTTTCTGTGATGTAGTTGTTACATTCATGTTTTAATCGAGGGTCTGTAGTTGTTTCATTGTTTTAGTGGCAGATAATGATTTAGAAATGATGTGTTGCAGAGAAAGATTTAGCAGAGCAGGGAGTATGGAGTCATTTCTACCATTTTTTCTACCAAGGTTGCCTTGCGAACTTTGAGATCGAAGATGATGCTGAAGAAGCTTTTCTTCTTTATCCTGATATCAAATACACTAAAATGGAGGACTACCTCAAACAATACCTTTGATTGGTTACAGTTATCGTTGCATATTGATATTGTGTTTGCTTCAACTGTGTATGTAATTGATTACAGTTATCGTTGCGTATTGATATTGTGTTTGCTTCAACTGTGTATGTAATTAGTGTTTTTGTTTGAGTTATCGGAAAATAAGGACAAGTTTGAGTTGTACAAACTTGGGTTCATGTCAAATTACACAAACGGGCACCGGTGCAAAGTCACGCCACTACTCGGCTAACACATCGGTTAGGGAGATGGTATGTTGTAAGTCGAATGTATTGAATGAGATGCATATGTAAGCAGACATGATTTTGAGATTTATATATATATAGATGCTTGTTAATCGAGTAAATAGTATTAACTTTACAAACTTATTTGAACTGTTTATTTTGTGATCAACGGTTATGATTAAATGAGAAGGTTATAAAATGATGAAAATGGAAAGAAATTAGATTGATCTAAATGGAGGTCAACTTTGAAACAAATTGTTTTTATTTTATGAAGATAATCATGTTTTATATGATGTTTGTTTTAAGTTCATAGTGTTGTTTCATATATGAATTTTGATTGTTCAACAGATGCGGGTGAATTAGCTGCCTTGAAAGAGATTTCCGGAAGTCCACAGTTACACCAACTCATTGATTTTAAAGTATCCCCAACAACTTCTTTAAAATGAAGTAAATGAATAAAAATAAGGATTTTGAGCCATATTTTATTCTAAAAACTTATTAAAAATTATTTCCAAGAAATGGGAAGATCTAGGATAGGCGGCCAACCTCCTGGAGAGAGCGATGTTACCTTTTGATAACCTTTTCTCATGCAGAACAGAGAAAGGTTAGTCAGACTGAGGGCGGAAAAAAGCCAAAAGTTTGACTTGAGCCTACTTTGCTAGTTTTGTTTCCCATCCCAGTCTTTCGCAACACTTCAGGCAATAGCTGTTCTTCCAGTTTGTCGGTCCCCGATTATAAGTTCTCGAAACAATGATTTTTGTTTAAAGTTTATAACAATTACGTGTATGGATGTTGGTTGTTACAATTTTTTATACCAAAGTTCATAGTAGGGATGTTCAAAAGGATCGTTGGACCGCTCAAACGGTTGAACCAAGTCAAAGTGGACCCTTTTTTTGCGGTTCGGTCCAGTCTGAAAAATACTCAAACCGCTTGGTTTGTTCTGGTTTGAGGTTTTATCCTTTTTTGATCGGTCTATAGACCGAATCGACCTCCAAAAATACACATGTGTGTGTGTGTGTATATATATATATATAACTATATTCAGTTTTCATGTTGTAGGTTCAACTTTTATGGTCCAATTAAAATATTTCGTCCAATAAATTATTTTTTTACTCATTTTCTCAATTGATCGCATTATTTAAATAGATAAAATTATGAAATTCGTCAAATAAAATTCTAAATCATTCTTCAACTTACTCAATGTTTGTCGAAAGTTCAAGTATTGTTGGTGGACTTGTTTAACTTTTTTTTTCAACTTGTTCAATGTTTTTTAATTTTATATATAAACATTTCTTTTATAATTCAATATACTATTTCTTAGTAACATTATATTGGTAGAACTTTTATTTTGAATATAGATTTTATGTTTTCTTAGTATAAAGGACATAAGAGGCCCAAACTGTCTAAACCAGTCAGACCAAACCGATTTTTTGTGGTTAGGTTTGACCGGTTTGGTCACGTGCTACCAAACTGCGCGGTTTGAAAATTTTCTAAACTGCCAATGTGATTTGGTTTGTAATTTCCGGGTTAAACCATCTAAACCGGATTGTGAAACACCCCTAGTTCATAGGTGAAATCTGAAATCAAGTGGGATAATTAAAAAAGTTTAAACAAAGTAAATTAGATAATTATATAAATGAGATAATTAAGATCTCTCTCTCTCTCTATGTATATGTATATATAGGTCGATAATCAAATAAAAACTATAAAAATGTTACAAACCCGTAAGAAACAATACAAAAAATATCTTTTTTACATGATTTTTCCATAAAAAACTATGATTTAAGGTATCTTTTCACATACGTTTGTGTTCACATAATGAAAAAAATACATATGAAACTTTTTTTGGGTTCACTTAGTGAAACGAAAATTAACGTTATATGGTGAAACAAATACATGTGAAACTATTACATTATAAAACATTTCTGTTAAACAATGCCTTAACATTGTGTTCTCGAGTTTTGGATGGAAAAAAAAAAAGGAAAGAAAAAAAAAAGGAAGGAAAAAAACGAAAAGAAAGAAATTTTTTTATTTGTGTTCTTCAAAGTGAAGGGAAAGGAAGGAAAGAAACTGGGAGAAAATAAATTGGTATGTTCTTGAGCCGGAGAAAAAAGGAAAGGAAAGATATCAATTTTACAAATATACCCTTATTTATTTTATAGTGTAATGTAACTGATGGATATATGTGTACTTTTATAAATATTTCTAATTGTTATTCATTGTTTTATTCCATTTCCTTCCCTTTCCTCCCACATTTGGGAGGAAATCAACATGATTTTCATTCCCTTTCCTTTTTTTTTCCTCCTTAAAAATTCGAGAACACAAGATTTTTTTTTCTTTCCCTTCCTTTTCTTCGTAAAGAAAACTCGAGAGCACTGCGTAAATCCTACCGGTTAATGAAAAAAATCATGTAAAATATTTTTAGATCGGTTCTAAACAGTTTATAACCTTTTCATGGACCTCATTTGATTTTGCACCATATACATATATATATATATATACACACACACACACATAGAGAGAGAGGGAGAGTCAGTTTCATACGAGAATAAAAGAACATAAATAACTGAATCACATGTGATTTTTACACAAAATTCACATATGATTTGTATGCCTTTGGCTGCGACCTCAAGTCGCTTGCTCACCCTTCCATTGACCTGTTCCGTGATCACATGTAAAATCATATGTGATTTACATATGATTTGGCCGTTTTTTATTCTTTTATCTTTACCATGTTTTCATTTGGTTCCCCATATATTTATTTGAAATCAAATATGAACTCTAATCGTTGTAACCATCTCGTAGCTTGTGGATAAGTTTTTTTTTGTTCGACCGGTTAAAGAACTGGATTTTATATAATTTGTTAGATTAAAATATTAACCATATTTTAGACCATAGCTTTATTTACAATATTCATTTTATTTACCAAATTACCACCATAATTATTAGATTAAAAGTGATCAAAACTAAAATTCAATTAATCCCCAAATTAATTTCTAGAATATTAATGGTCTTTAATTGAAAACACACATTTGCATATGTTAATATTAAATATATTAAAATATGAATATATACAAAACAATAAACCACATATAAAACCAACCATCCTAAGACATTAAATCCTTAGCTTATATATATATATATATATATATATATATATATATATATATATATTCAAATTAACCCTAATTCACACTGATTCATAAACAAAGTCATCTCCCTCTTTTAGAAATAACTAAAGACGAAAGAGGCCAACTCTTATAGACTCTCTTACTTGATAAGTTGACTATCATCAACAACCAATGCTCTTATAATAAATCTTAAACCATTGTGCTAATTATTATGGTCTTACCAATTGATTATAATATTAATATTGCTTGACTTCAAATCCTAACCCTAATTCTATGTAATTTGCTCTAGTCAACATGACTCATATTTGTTGACTTTCTAGATTGTTTGTATTCCACAAAGATAAAGATCATAAAGTAAACTCCAAATCCTTACCTCGTTGTTGACCCTATCATTTAACCTTAATCCTTAAACCGTCAATACTAATCGCTCATAATTAACTCTAATAAATCTTCAATCAAAATTGTCCTTATCAATCAGTTCTAACTCTAGATGATCTAACCCTAAATCTAACTTTACGTCACCATGGATTAACTTTAATTAATATAAAGTAAAATGTATTTGAATTGAGAATTTTCATGTTAAAGACTCACCTACCACTCGAGAAAACGATCTACTACCAACTTGTTTTTTGCATTCAAATGATCTCTGATCACTTTTTGAATAAATGATTTTGTTTTGCATAGAAATTGCATGAAAAAAATACAATATACTTTATTTTGATTTTCATTTTGTGTACCATACATAAAGATATATCTCAAATATTTAGACAAATGAAAACCGGTTTAAGTATTAACCTAGTACCATGCTAACGTGCAAATAATGTGACATATAACTCAATATTATTGTCGATATGGCGAATTATGATGTTGACTTTTTATACAAAATTATTTTAGGATATTCTTTTTTATTTAGTAGAAGTTTATTAACTTAATTCATATACAAAAAATTTAAGTGCTCCAAAAAATTTAAGTGAAAACAACAATAATCATTTCAAACACATGAACAAAATAAAACCCCCAGTTTGTTTTTATCAAATATCAAAACTAATCTTCACACAAAAAATTCAAAAACCTCTACAATCACAAGTTGAACACCATGAAATACAAAATCCGCACGAAGTACCCCGTTTACACTCTCACCATAGCCACTGCCACAATTAAGGCATCCCAAATCAAAATTTTCCAATTGGTTGTTAGATCGACATAGAGAATGCTCAATTGGATGGCACCATCATGGAACAAGGTGGTTGAGGTATGGGCAAGGGGATGAGGGAGTTGAAATAGGTGATGGATACTGGTGTATGGAGTCAAAAGTTTTTTGGTTTGATTTTCATGTACAATGAGAAGTCTTTGTTTTTGGAGTCGTAAATTGATGGATGGTGGCGAGTCTTTGTTACAACAATAGCTCCCGTATATAGTAAGAAGTACCATCCATAGAATTAATGTAACATCCAATTTATAATATTCCCAATTATTTGCTTAGTATATTTAATTATTGGGTTAAAGAGAACTTATCATTTAGTGGGAGTTTGGGTCTCAAGTTTTAGAATTATATTTCTTAAGAATATATTAGAGGATTTGGAAAATATCATGTCAAATAGATACGTAAAACGGATTTTTTGGGAGATCTTTTCTGGAATATTTTTGTTGGATGTTATATATTATCTCTTTATGAACGTGTAGGCGAAAACCTCATAGAAAACGGAGGTCCGAGCGAAAAGTTATGAATAATTTAAGTGTTGATGGTCAAAATGGGTACCTAGCCGGGCCAACCCGGCCCAACTCGAGTTTTAGCATTATAAATTGGATTTTTGACCCATTTTTCATGTCATCTAAGTCCAGAACTCATACACACACTAGAGGTTCGATTTTCACACACATTGGCTCGATTAAA